TAAATCTTTACGGGAGCAGAAAGCCTCATCTTTCTCCCGTGGAACAGCTGGTAGTTTCGAACTGCTGACCATGAGGTTTGCAGCCCGATTCATAACTACTCTGCTACCAGAGCTCCTTCTACTGAATAATAGGATCTACAAATTGAGCTTAGAGATTTAAGAAAAATGTTTTAAATATATTACTTAAGTAATACAAATACTAACGCAAGTATTTATACGTATTTTTCTTTCTGTACCCAAATCCCTCTTTGACAGTAAAGCTTGTGGACAAGATAGTTGTGACACAACTTCCTTCTTGTCTTTCTCAATAAACTTAACTGATTTTACTTTTCAGAGAAAGTATGGTTCTGGTATTTTACCTCAAAATCCTATAGACCTATGGCAATACATATAGTTTTCATAAAACAGTTAACAAGTAATCTAGATTATTTAACAACTCTTGTAAAGACATGATACAGAAAATGATGTATTCATTTCAGTGTTACTTACATGATTTTCCACTGTACCCTCTTCCCCTAGTTAAGCTCATATGAAAGTACCTAGGCTTTTTTTCGCCTCATTTCTGTTGAGGCCTATTGTAGGTGTAATGACAGTAAGCACTGCACCTAGGAAGATGCATTAAGCACAGTTTGTATGAGTGACCTCAGCTGACACCTGTGTGCTCCTAACCTATTCAAAAACAGTGTTATACCTAAGGTCACCAGAATCAGAGCCAACATGACAACCAAACAGCATGGTACCTAATCCTATGAGCTAGATGCTATTTTCAATTTACAGATGGAAATTTACAGCAGAAGGTTGTAACTTTGGGTTAGAAAAAGGAAGTCTATTCTTGATAAAGGAATCCTCTTTATTATCTACTTTATCTGATCCAAGGCACTCAAGAAATGTCTGCTAAATGAGAAATGAATTGTTCATTAAAAACCTGGTTTGGGCCTACAGGTCAAATACTTGCACTTAATGCAGTATGGAGCACCTAGCAGGGTTCATTAAGTATTTATTAAAGAGAAGAACACTCAGCTAGTATTCATGGGACCTCAATTGTGTTTGGGATCTGTAATGATGCATGGGGTTTAATACACTGTTGATTCAGAAGGTTTTTGCTTTCAAGGCATTTACAGCCTAGAATAAATAAGATACACATAGATGACAGCGTGCAGAGACGATTGTTGTTAAGTGCCGTCAAGTTGGTTCTAAGTCATAATGACCCTGTATAGTTTCCAAGGAGTGGCTGGTGAACTTGAATCACCAACCTTGAAGTTCAATCTGACCTTGCAGTCTAACGCATTAGCCCGCAGCGCCAGGATGATGGTGATGGTGGTGGTGGTAGTGTGCTGTAGAGTCGGTTCCGACTCACAGCGACCCTGTACAGGGTTTCTGAAGCTGTAAATCTTTACAGGAGCAGGAAGCCTCATCTTTCTCCTGCGGAACAGCTGGTTGTTTCGAACTGTTGACCTTGACATTAGCTGCCTGACCACTACACTACCAGAGCTCGGAAGCATTATGTGCTAATTTAAGACTGCCAGTCAAGTGTTTTGAGTCTGGAGGCTGGGAAGGCTGAACGGAAATCCTTTTCCACTAAAGCTTGGCTTGTTTCTTTCCTTCTTTTCATACTTGCTTTGGCAATCTCATGGCTTTATGCATCTCTTCTATCTGGATTGAGCCCATATCTTTTCTTCTGATTTTTCTCCTTAGTTTCCAACTTCCTCCCAGGGATCATCTCTATATAAGTAATCTGCCTGCACTGGAAACTCTATTAAAAACTAAACCCTTAATTTCTCTCCCAAGGGTGTCTCTGACTTCTTGAATGGAAGGAAAAATAAATCCTGCAATAGGTGGATGAGAAATTGGGAATTCACAACATTCAGAGATGGAGAGAAAGATGAAGTCTCAGAGTTTTTGAAATGTGTTTTCTAAGCATCTCCAGTTACTTCCTAACTTCTATCATACAAGTGAAAAATGTAGCCTTCACTTTTCTTTCCTGCCCTATACTATAAAATAGGGGAGAGGAACCTTTTTTTTGGCCAAAATTGATAATATCATTTGTGGGCCACACAAAATTCTCAACTTAAAAATTAGCCTGCTATATTTGGTCAAACATTTCATTAAGTCACTCCGGTGGCATTGTGGGTTAATGCGCCAGACTGCAAAGCCGTCTGAACTGCAAAGTCAGTGGTTCAGGCTCACCAGCTGCTCCTTGGAAACCCTATACAGTGTCGCAACTGACTTGACGGCACTTAAAAACAACAGTGTGATAACTTGAACTGCAGTTGCCTTGGCAGGGCCCAAACCACTTGATTTCTTGAGCTTAATACAGTATGCGGGCTGGGTGTTCCCCATCTCTGCTATAAAAGGCTTTAAAATCACTAGAGAAAACATTTTTCTTTTAATATCTGGTGGGAAGGCCCTCTAAATTCCTTTAATGGGGTACACCAGAACGTGGCAGTGATGTATTAAAAAATTGTTAGAACTATATTGTTTAATAAGACTGGAAGTTAAGAGAGGGAAGAGGAACAAAAACTAATTTTATTTCTAACACCGTTTAGGAAGCCTCCCTCTAACCATAAATTATGTTTCTTTTTGAGCAAGAATCTGGATAATAAACAATTGCATTATGAAATTACACTAAGATAATCAGTGCATGGATAATTTGAAATACTTCTGAGCTCAACCTCCTTTGAACGCCTTTATATCCTTGTTGTTGTTTTGTGCTTTCGAGTTGGTTCTGACTCATAGTGACTCTGTAGAGGGTTTCCAAGGAGCAGCTGGAGAGCTTGGACCGCTGACCTTGTGGTTCAAAGTAACTTTGCAATTCATTGCATAAACCCACAGTACCACAGCAGGACCCCTTTATATCCTTCAGACCCTCAAAAAGTGGGAAAGAAATACATGGACGTGGCAAATTGGTTGGTTGGTCACAGAAATGTTTTCCCTTCCATCTCAGACATACAGCTAGCTGCACTTCTCAAAATTGTTTTCAGTAAGGTGGGCCAAGAGACTAAGATCTTCCCAAAAGGACTGTAGGCAGAAGTGATATGCATGGCTACAAGGCTGACACAAAGGAAATATCCCACGTGCAGGCTGCTCCTTAAACAAAAAGAGCTTGGGAGCTGAGAGAAAAGGCAGACACCCAGGATCTAAGAAGAAGCCCAAGTTTGAGAATGACTGCGTGGGAAGCTACTCACTGACCAGAAACAGCCACATTAAACTTTTAGAAAAAAAACAAACCAAACCCATCGCCATTAAGTCAATTCTGACTCACAGTGACCCTGCAGGACAGAGCAGAACTGCCCGCAGAGTGGCTGGTGGCTTCAGACTGTCCATCTTCCTATTAAGAGCTAAGCCCCAACCACTGTACTTTGGGCAAGTTACTTAGATTCTCTGGGTCCCAGTCTCCTCATACTAATGACTTGTAACAGTGCCTGACCAATCATAAAAGTTCGATAAATGTTGTGTGTTATTGGGCTGATTCTGACTCATTAGGTGTCATTATTATTAGGAAACAAAGTTTATTCTCCTTGATTTTCTTCTTTTCCTAAGCGAAGTGGAATACTGGGTGTGGTGAAGGGAATATTAGTGACAAGCACTCAGTTGCATCTACCAGCTAAGAATACCTATTGGTACACTGAGGTAAGATGACATTCTAACAACAATTTAAAGTAAAAAACAAACTTTTTTCTGGATCGTAGGCATTAAATTTTATGACCAGTCTCTTGCAAAACATTCAAATCTAGTAAACATGTATAGTATAAAAAGAATGTGATACCCCCCTTCTCTCTTTTTCCCCTTGATACTAAGCATCTGGAGATATTCTAATAGGGTTTTGATACACCACATCACTTCTGTGAGCTCCAACTGACACAAAATTGGTAAAAAGAATACTTTGTGCTGTTAAAATACTTAACTGATACAGTTTAATAATACTTATTATCAACTTTTATTTATCTTACATAAATAGCTCATAGGATTCCTTTGTAAACCAAATTTTCCAAATATATTTGTTACAATGCACATTTCTTTATGAAAGTATTTGCTAAATCTTTTTTTCAGAGAAAATGGAGAAGAGGAAGGGAAGAGGGAGACTAAGATTTCAAAACTATTCTTCAGTGCTTTGGCCTAAATTTTTTCCTTTCATAGAAAAGTACATGTTTGTAACTTTGAAACATATCAAAAGTGCAGTGCATCAGTTTAATTACAAAATCAGTAGTGTCAAATATATTACTCAGGTATCAAATTTCCCTTTTTAAATATATTGATCCATATACTTTACAATCATTACATACTGGCTTTAAATAAAAATCAACAAACTCTTCAGTTAAATAACCCAGACTTGGATTAAATGATGGTATTATTGATAGTTTAAAAATTTCCTCTTTATTTATTCATCAGTAAAATGCAAATATTTGACAAATCCCCACAGAATGCACTTCCTATATGTAGGAAGAGGATAATCTTATTATATCTGCTATTAGTCAGGGCATTTGCATAACTGCTAATTTGTTACACAAGAATTTTTTTTTCCACCTTTATGTTTCCACTTGAACAAAGTATAAGCAGTCATCTTCAGCCCAAGACTTAACCACTCTTAAAACAGGGAACCATCTTTATATTAGTATTTCTTTGCTCTTAGTCTTGATATTATTAAGCACAATGGATGTTTCTCAATGCATATGAGTGGATTAAGGCAAAAGGAAACAGCCTCATTCCCTCAATAATTTATTATTTTTTAAAAAATTGACATTGTGGGTATATGAGCTATAGAGATCAAGTGGCTTGAAAGACCCAGTTGTCCCTTACACCAACACCTGGCATTTTAATCATGAAGTTAAAATCTTGGTGCTCACAGAATCTTCCTTTGATCTACCATTATGATCATTCCTCAGCAGTACCTACAATGCTGATTTTCAAATTACACCATTGACTTGCTTGCTATGACTCTTCGCTGTATGTATATTATTTTTACTTATTAGGTATACTTAAAGAATAATTATGACAATAATCTACTCATTCTTTGTACACTCGTCATTGAAAATTTTCTCATTTTTACAACCATTTCCCAAATGGCTGGTGCAGTTTTCTTTAGTCATATTTTTCACATAATTAAGCGGTCCCTTCCCTTCAAAAGAAGAAGGATTTTTGAACGAGCCTCCAATTCTATCCCACAGTGTAAAATACTGTCCATAGTTATAGTCAAAGTATAGGTGATGGTCTGTATGATGAGCTGCACCATTAATAAATGGCCTTAAGATTCTGGGGACGCGATAATCACCATCGTGAATGGAAATTGTCCAGATATTGACCATGATGTACAAGGCTAAATAAGCTACCTTGTGTAAGGGAAAAATAAAAGGGTATATATGGTAAGGTAGACCCTGAAGGAAGCCATCCACAGGGTGAAAAGCATGACTTGCAAACGGAGTGGTAATCTTCCAAATATGATGAGGCTTGTGTATGCGCTACAGAAGAAAAGAAGATCATTAGCACCACAGATATTATCCAGGGTAACTTTGAATTTACCTTTTCATACTCATGTTATTTAAATAGCCTCACGGGAAATTTCCTTTGAAACTGGAAAGCCCATTTTACTAAATGCCCTCTCTTTCCTTGCCTTAGAGCAGTCAAATTGTAACAAAGCCCCCTCCAGACTCCAAAAGAAAAAATACGAACAAAGTGTACTTGGAGCCTGTCATGACTATGGTTACTGAGGTATTTGTTGTTGTTGTAGTTAAGTGCCATGTACCGACTCATAATGACCCTATGCACAACAGAGTGAAATGCTGCCCGGTCGTGGGCCAACCTCATAATTGTTGCCACACTTGAGCCCACTGATGCTGCCATTTTGCCAATTCATCTCACTGGGGGTCTTCTTCTTTGTGTATTTAGCACAGAAGAAATTCTTACAGACAGAGGAAAGAATTTATATTCATACAGTGTTGAAAGATGTACTTTTATTACCCACTTCTCCTACAAATGACTCTACCTTATACACAAGTCGATGGTGAAGGCCTCTGTGAATCCAATAAATCAACATGTCAGTGAAAAAGAGGAATGATATCACACTAACAATAAGTTGAATCCAACCTACAAGAAACAACAGAGAACAGTGTGTAAGATTTGGTTTCCAGGGCTAGAGTTCACTTTTCACATGTTTATTTCAATGCAAAATCTATAAACTAACTGATTTGACTGGTTGATTAGATTATAGATTAATCTCTCCTGAATCCCTGGAACTTGCTACAAATTATTTCTTTATTTTCCTCTCACAAGCACTTGAAATATCTAAAATATGTCTTAACTGTATTAAACTGCAAACAAATTCATATAGGTATTTCTGGATGGTGCGAACAAGTAATATGCTTGGCTACTAAAGAAAAGGTTGGGATCTAAGGCACCTTGGAAGAACAGCCAGGCAATCTACTTCCAAAAAATCAGCCACACTGAAAACCTGTGGAGCATAGTTCTACACTGATACACACTAACAGTCGATTTGGTGTGTGTGTGTGTATATATATATATATATATGTTTATATATAAAATACATATATATGTTGTTGTTAAGTGCCATCAAGTCAGTTCCAATCCATAGTGATCCTGTATAGGGTTTCCCAGGAGCAGCTGGTGAGCTTGACTTGCCAACCTTGTAGTTTGAATGTCTTTGCAGTCTGACACATTAACCCACAGTGCCACACCAGGACTCCTACAGCACCACAGTAAATATTAATATGAACTATTTCTAAATTCCAAAGAAAAATCAAATGACCCATTTTCTTCTTAAGGTTAAAGTAATTTTGACTCAGCTTTTGACTTTCATAAAGGTAATAATAATAGCTCCTATTTATTCAGTGCCTCCATGTCAGCATATGAGCACCTCCAAGTGTTCCAAGTACTTAGTATCTAAGTCTTATACATATATATGGAGCTCTGGTAGCATAGCGATTACGAGTCAGGCTGCTAACCTTCAGCAGTTTGACACTACCAGCTGCTCAAGGTCAGCAGTTTGAAACTACTAGCTGTTCCGTGAAAGAAAGATAAGGCTTTCTGCTTCAGTAGAGATTTACAGCCTCGGAAAACCTACGCAGACTTGCTATGAGTCGGAACTGACTCCACAGCATATAACCACCACTACCACCATGAATGTTAATTTATTAGCCAATTAAAAATGCTTTTTAAACTATGAATGTGCAACTATTGGTCTCTCCCTGTCCACACGAAAGAAGAATGAAGAAAACTGACAACACATGGAAACAATTAGACCAATGGACTAAAGGTCTCCATGAACATTAGTTTCCAAGACCTTAAGACAAGAAGAACTAGATGGTGCCTGGGCTACTAATACCAATGGCTCTGAAAAGGATCCCATTATAAGGTCCTGGATAGAGTGGGGAAAAAATGTAGAACAAAACTCAAAATCATAAAGAAGACCATGCTTATAGTCAGATGGAGGCTGGAAACCCACAAAACTATGGCCCTTAGTCACCCTTCAGGTGTGGAACTGAACTCACCTCTGTGGTTCAATTTTCAGCCAAACAATAGACAGGTCAACACAAGAGGAGCAATAACACTAGAGAGACGCACATACTTTAGAGTAATCCACCATCTGAGATCAAATGAGCAGCATCTACTGCAGAACAGAGTCCAGAATGGTTCGGAAAGAAGGAATGGCAACAGGAAACACAGGAACAGGTGGGATAAATGAGGCTGCACTCAGTGACATGAAACAAAATGTGTATGGATTGCTGAATGGAAAACTGATCTGCTCTGGAACTTTTTCACCCAATTCACAATAAAAAGTATTTTAAAAACAAGGGAGTCTAGAGTGCGATGGTCACAACTGTAAAGATAGACATTTTGTAGTGAAAAGGGGGGAGTACTTGATCTTGCAGTCCAGGAGCAGAGGACACTGGGACCATCAAGGGAGAAGAGCAAGAGAGAAGTGTAGGACCCTATCTAGAGAAGAGTCAATGCCAGAGATGGAGGCAGAGATGATGTGGAGAGAGAGAGCAGGTGAGGGCTCTAGACTTATCGAGGGAGAGGGGATGTGTGCTGGCAGCTGGGGGCAGGTTTGCATGATGTGCCCTTTGGTTGTTTGAATGATTGTATATTCCTGGGTGTTTTTGTTTACATCAACAAAAAACCAGAGGGAATAGAAGCAAATACTGTTGAATGATAATGAGGGGATTGTAATAATTGCAATGAAATGAAACACAATAGGATGAGTGTAAAGCTGATGTTCTCACATGTAAACTATTACTCAATTCACAATAAAAACTTTAAGATTCTGTTTCTTGGTAGCAGAAAAACAGACTTTAAAAAAAATTGTGATTTTCTTGTTATTCAGCAATTATTATTTTTATTTTTTAGAAGCTTAATGTCCTATGAAGGAAACAAACTCAAGGGCCTATCTTTAATCATTCCATTCTTTCCCCAGGCATAATCTCACCTACATGAGACTTTAAAATTGGTAGACAATACTAGAGAAATGTACAAACATGAGAAGACATGAATCCATAAAACATGGAACAGTGAAAGAAGAGGTACAATTTACAATGATTTTTAACAGAAGAAACAGAGAGAGGGAGATTTGATTCTTTGAATCTTTTTGCTCAGACCAATCCTCCTCCTGGCGCTCAAATTATCTACTTACCATATGGAAACTCTCCTATGTCATCATATAATTTGCTGTAACCTCTCACCTCTGAAAGGAACAATGAAACAGTGGGAATACTTATCCATGGCAATGACTGGACAGTAAACTTAATTTCTCGATACACTTGATTCTAAAAATCAAATTTACAATATTTAAAATTAGAAAAATTGACTTATCAACACAATATTTTTATCAAGTGAAACTAACATTAGTTGTTTTGGATGACATTTTTAAAATCTTTTTTATTTAAGGGTACTTACCTCTAAACATTAAGATTTTAGTATATGGGAATGCACATAAAGAATTAATACAATACATAGTTCAAATTCTGAAGCCCTTTTCCCTTCCCATAAAATCTGTATTCTAAATTTCTATTTCAGGAGCAATTATTTTCTTTCATAAGTAACTTCTATTCCCACTCCAACCTCATGACTTTGTTCTGTCCTTTCAGTAACTGACAAATATAATCAACTGAAATAGAACAATTGTTACAAATAACTCTAAAACTACCTAGGCTTAATCTCCTAACTAGTCATATAAAAACTTACACAGTAAAAACATTAGTTTGTGCAAGTCATACTAAAATAAATATACAAATATATACATTTATTTATTCATCACTACAATGTGGCACTGTAGGATCAGCACTGGACTGCGAACCACAAGGTCAGCAGTTCAAACCCTCTAGCTACTCTTTGGAATACCTATACAGGGTTGTTAAGGGTTGGAACTGACTTGACGGCCCTTAGCAACAATACCAGCACTGGTGGCATTGAAGGATAAGCTTTGGACTGCTAACCACAAAGTTGGCAGTTCAAACCCATCAACTCCTTCACCTGGAGAAGGATGAGACTTTTTGTTCCCAGAAAGATTTACAGCCCTGGAAATCCAACAGAGTTTTACTATGAGTTGGAACCGACTCAACAGGATCCAACAACAACAACATTAGCAAAGAAATAGCTGTCAAAGTACCTAGAAAGGTACCAGGATTGTAATTTGCTCTTGTTTTAAAAAAATTGTACTCATTTATTTGCTTATAGGAAAAGACAGGAAATTCGCCCTGCTGAAAGTGCCTCATCTGTTTGGAGCTGGTTTTAAAAGCTTTATTTTATGATTCTATGCTACTAAAGGCTCTCGAGTCGATTCTAAATTATAGCGACTCATAAGGTTTCTGAGGAGCAGCTGGGGAGTTTGAAATGCTCATCTTGTAGTCCAGTGCTTATTCTACAGTGTCACACTAGAACTCATTATGCTTCTATATAACCAATTTAATCGGAAAATCTCACAAATACAAGGGAAGTCAAAAAGCACTGTTATTAGTTCCAATTCAACACATTTATTCTACAACAAAGTGTGTTAAACATGTCTGCAATGAGTGAAGGGTGGCAAATTCTCTCAGTAATACACTTGTCTTAGTCTATCGGGGGCTTCCTAAAAAAAAACATACTTTTTATGCCATGGAAAAAAATGGTTTGTGGGTCTGGGTTAATATTAACTTTTAACCAAAACTCAAACAGAGTTTTCTCCTAAATCATTGAAGCTTTGCAACATACTTACAAGAATGTTGCCCCTATATATAAAAAGTTTTTATATGGATTGAGCATTTTAAAGAAGGCAGGAAAGAACTTAAAGATGAGTCAAGAGAGGGCAGACCATCAACCTCAATGAATGAAGAAACCGTGGGTGAAGTCAATAAACTGGTGGAAGACCACACAATTACCAGTGATGTGGATACTACTGTAGTGGGCATCTCACATGGCTCAGCACTTACAATCAGAAGTGAACCCCTTGGCCTCAGCAAGCTTTTGGCTTGATGAGTGTCAAAATTGTTGTACAAAGATCAGATCGCTCAAGGATATGATCTTTCCATCAGTCTTTTAAGCAAAGCTATTAAAAATATTTTTATGGAATGACTCCCAACAGGGGATGAATCTTAGGTTGATCAATGCAATCCAGAGAACACAATCTATCAAAACAGTGGCTTCTGAGGGGATTTACTAGACCAAGAAATTCCAAGCACAGAGATCAGTTCAGAAGGTTTAGGTGATTGTTTTTTGGATTCTCAAGGGCCAATCTTTATATAGATTTTCTGAAAGGACACAGAACAATCACAGGGGCTTATTATGAAGAAGTTTTAAGAAAACTGGAAACAACATCGATGAGAATAAAACCAGAAAAGTTGCACTGAAGAATTTTCCCATCACAACAATGCATCTGCTCATTCTTCAGAGACAGCAAGGGCTGGCCTATGAAATTCTGTTGTGAAGTGTTACCCCATCTCTTCTACAATCCATATCATCCTCATTCAGGATTCTTTTTGTTCCTTAAACTCAAAGAACATTTTTAAAGGAACATACTTTGAGTCCCTCAAGGAAGTCGTTTTGACGTGGTGAAAATCAAAGAACTCATCTGTCAGTTTGTGATACTGTGGTGGCTTGTGGGTTGCTGTGATGCTGGAAACTAAGCCATGATATTTTAAATACTAGACTAAGAAGAAGAAGTGGACCACTTCTAAAAGATTAGTCACAGAAAACCTTATGAATAGCAGCAGAAACCGATCTGAGACAGTGCCAGAAGATGAGCCCCTCAGGTTAGAAAGCATTCAAAATATAACTGGGGAAAAGCCGCCTCCTCAAAATAGCAGTTGTTGTTGTTAAGTGCCATTGAGTCAGTTCAGACTCATAGCGACTCTGTGTAGGGTTTCCAAGGCACAGCTGGGGAGTCTGAACTGCTGACTTTGCAGCTCAAACTGACCTTACAGTCCAGTGCTTATTGTACAGTGCCACACCAGGACTCCTCAAAGTAGAGTTGACCTTAATGATATGAATGGAGCAAAGTGTTTGGAACCTTCATTTCATGATGGGAAATAACTCAAAATGAGGAGAAACAGCTGCAAATAGGCATTAATAATTGGAATGTGGAATGTACAAAGTATGAATCTAGAAAAATGTGAAGTCACCAGAAATGAAATGGAACACATAAAGATCGACATCCTAGGCACTAGTGAGCTGAAATGAACTGGTATTGGCCATTGTGAATCAGATAATCATATGGTTTATTATGCCAGGAATGACAAACTGAAGAGGAATGGCATTGAATTCATCGTCAAAAGTAACACTTCAAGATCTATCTTGACATACAATGCTGTGATATGATAATATTTATATGCCTACAAGGAAACCAGTTAATACTATTATTATTCCAATTTACACAGCAGCCACTACACCAGTAATGATGAAACTAAAGAATTCTACCAACTTCTTCAATCTGAAATTCATCAAACATGCAATCAAGATGCCTTGATAATAGAAAAAGATGCTGGAGATTACAGAATAATACTTTTGCAAGACCAACAACTTCTTTATAACAAATACATTTTTCCAACAACATAAATGGCGAGTATACATGTATACTTCACCAGATGGAACACACAGGAATCAAACTGACTACATTAGTGGGAAGAAAAGGTGAAGAAGCTCAGTATCATCAGCCCAAACAAGGTCAGGGCACACTTGGAGCAGACCATCAATTACTCATTCAAGTGTAGGCTAAAGCTGAAAAAAACAAAAACAAGTCCGTGGGAGTTAAAATACTACTTTGAGTATATTCCATCTGAATTTACAAAACATCTCAAGAACAGATTCAAGGCATTCAACACTAATGACTGGAAGACAAAACAGATGACATCAACATCTACATCAACATCATCTACAGAGGAAGCAGGGCAGTAAAAGGATAGAAAAGAAAGAAAAGACCACAACAGATGTCAGAAAAGACTTTGAAACTTGCTCTTGAATGTAGAGAATCTAAAATGACTCAAAGAAATGAGGAAATAAAAGATCTGAACAGAATAAATACTTCAAAGGAGAGCTGGAAAAGACAGAGTCAAGTATTATAATGAAATGTGGAATCAAAAAGCCGAAAAGGAAGAACATGCCAAGCATTTCTCAGTTGAAATAACTGAAGAAAAAAAAAAAAAAATCAAGTCTCAATTTGCAATATTGAAGGTTTCTATGGGCAAAATATTGAATGATGATGCAGGGAGCACCAAAAGATAAGGAGTCCAGGGCAAGATGTCAGAGTAAGCAACACACTAAGCCAACCTTCTGCAACAAAGGCGTGGGAGACCAAGCTAAGCAGATACAGATGGAGATCTTGGAACCCTGATCATCAGAGGGTAGGATAAAGAGCTGGGCTGCGTGCCTACTGAGTGAGAAGACTGAACAGGAGCAGTGAGAGAGAAGAAAAACGGGCAAACTGGGGACTGGCGTGGAGCGGCACAGCCACCTTGAGCTTTTGTGAGTGACTGTACATATAGCAGTCTGTGGGAACAGGTCTCCCTTGCTCCCGTGTTCTCCTGGTAAACATGGGTGTGGTCAGTCCCCACCCTCATCAACCCTGTAGCTAAGTAGTAGCACCCATCCTGCTTAGCTTCAGGTCCTCTTGCCTTTGGTCAGGTGCTTGAACCTACTCTGAACTACACTACACAAAGAGTGAACAGAGAACTAACTGTGTTCACACTTCTGATCTCTACCACCAGGAGATAAATGCGAGTGCCTTACGATATACCCTTATATAAATCAACTAAATATTAATATGGAGTCCTGGTGTGGCACTGTGGGCTAATGCGCTGGATTGCAAAGGCATTTGAACCACAAGGTTGCTGGGTCAAGCTCACCAGCCACTCTTTGGAAACCGATACAAACCGACTCAACGGCACTTTACTACAACAACAACAACAAATATAAATGCAATACCACAATGTATCAGAGAAAACAGATAATTTTAGTTTACACAAAGAAACAAGACAGAATGTCTCAAACAAGTCACCAAAATATAGAGTCAGAAAATACAATACCAGAAATGCTAATTAGGCAACTTCAATGGATTGAGAGAATGACTGAGAAAACTATAGGTGAAATCAAGGAAAACCCAGACCAAACTATAGAAAAAATTGGGAAACACACTGACAAATTAATTGAAAAAAATGGGAAGCATACAAAACCAGTAGTTAGAAAGCCAGAAGATTAACACTAAGACTTCAGAAATAGATAATACACTGATTAAAGGCAAAGAAATAAATAGAAAGTGATTGGAATTGAATCAATGGAAAACCAAATAACTGAGCTTGAAGAGAAATCTCTCAATAATCATCTGCTAGAGGAACTGTCTGGAAAAAGAACAACAACAAAAAAACCCAAAACAAAGGAAGCCTAAGATTTATGTGGAACACTATCAGTAGGAATAAATTACACATGACATGAATTCCCGAACAGAAACAGACAAAACAAAACCAAAAAAACTCTTAGAAATATTGTTTGAGAATTGTTGGAAGAAAACGTCGATAAAAAACATCATGAAAAATGAGAAGACAGTCATTCAAAAAGTTGAATAAACTCCCAACAAGATAAAGCCCCAAAGAAAAACACCAAGACAAATTATAATCAAACTTTTTAAAACCAAAGACAAGAAAATAATCCTTGAGAGCAGCTCAGGAGAAACAAAAAGTTATCTACAAAGGAGAGCTAAGAGGAACTAAACTCCAATTTCTCAGCAGAAACCATAAATGCAAGAAGACAATAGAATGCCACATGAATAAACTCTGAAAGAAACAGATTGCCAACCAGGAATCATATATCAAACAAAACTGCCCATCAAATATGAAAGTGAAATTAGGTCATTTTCAGCCAAGCAGAAATTGAAATGTTTCAGTATACTGATTTAACACTGGAGGCACTCACTCATCTATGCCAAGAAATTTGGAAGACAGGTACCTGGCCAACTGACTGGAAGAGATCCAGTCCAAAGAAAGGTGACCCAATGAACTGTGGAAATCAGTGATCATACCACATGCAAGTAAAATTCTGGTGACGATAATTCAAAAATGGTTGCAGCAATACGCTGACAGTGAGCTGCCAGATTTTCAATCCAGATTCAGAAGAGGACATGAAATGAGGGACAGATACCATTGATGTCATCTTGGCTGGAAAGCAAAGAATACCAGAAAGATATTTACTTGTGCTTTATTGACTATGCAAAGGCTTTTGACTGTGTGGATCAAAGCAAGTTATGGATACCAGTGTGAAGAATGAGAATTCCAAAACACTTACTTGTGTTCATGAGGAACTTGTACATAGACTGAGAGGCAGCTGCTCGGTAAAACAAGGGGATATTGAATAATTTAAAATCAAGACAGGTGTGCACCAGGGCTGTATCCTTTCACCATACTTATTCAATCTGCATACTGAGCAAATAATTTGAGAAGCTGGGTTATATGAAGAAGAGCATGGCATCAGGAATGAAGCAAGACTTATTAACAACCTGTGACAGCACTGTTTGCTAAAAGAAAGAAGACTTAAAATAGTGATGAAGATCAAAGATTACAGCCTTGTATGGATTATACCTCAGTGGAAAAAAGAAAGCAGAAATTTTCAAAGCTGGACTAATAAATAACATCATGATAAACAGAAAATACTGAAGTCATCCAAGATTTCATTTTACTAGGATCCACAATTAATGCTCATGGACAGAGCAATCAAGAAATCAAAGGATATATTACATTAGGCATATGTGCTGTAAAAGACCTCATTAAAGTGTTAGAGAGCAAAGATACCACTTTGAGGACTAATATGGACCTGGCCCAAGTCATCATATTATCAATCGCCTCATATGCATGCAAAAGTTGGACAATGAAATAGAAGACCATAGAAGAATCAATGCATTTGAATTATATCATTGGTGAAGAATATGGGAAGCACCAAGGACTGCCAGAAGAATGAACAAAAATCTGTTTTGGAAAAGCGTAGTGGTCATGAATCGGGCTGTGAACTACAAGGTCAATAGTTTGAAACTACTAGCTTTTCGATGGGGGAAAGATGAGGCTTTCTGCTCCCGTAAAGATTTACAGCCTCGGAAACCCTGTACAGGGTCGCTGTGAGTCGGAACTGACTCCACAGCACATCACCACTACCACCATGACCACATTGCTCCTTAGACAAAAGGATAGTGAGACTTTGTATCTAGTAGTTTGGACATGTCAGGGCATGTCCTGGAGAAAGGCGTCATGCTCAGTCAAGTGGAGTGTCAGCAAAAAATAAAAAGACCTCCCATGAGGTGGAATGATACAGTGGCAGCAACAATGGGCTCAAACATAATTGTAAGGATGTCCCAGGACCGGATAGTGTTTCAGTCTGGTGTCACTGTGAGTTAGGATTCAACATCACCAAACAACAACAAATCAAAGAGCAAAAATTCTTCAGGAAAGGGTTAAAGAGGTAGAAACACCACCATCAGAAGTGTATAGGACTAGATGGAGGATATGCCAAGAAATAGCTTCACATATTGATATTTTTGTTTAATCAGGTTTATAGCAATACTTTTTGAGTTACCCTTGTATATCACATTGTTATTTTTACTGTAAAAATAGAATGTAGGTTAAGATAATCACTTACCTGTAAAAACTGTGGATGTTTCATCAATGAATGATCATAGACAAAATAATAGCTCAGCGATGCAAAGAGGAAATAAAGAATAAAGGCACCAATATTTGTTACAATTAGGAGACTAATAGTTTGTCGGAAGATGTCATCCTCTGGCCATGTGGCTGGATATAAATATGGTGTAAAAAAATAATAATCTGCAACATTGAGTACAAGATCCATCTTTGCTCCTAAAAGATAAATATATGCAACAATTATTTACCACCTTTATATTTTCCTAAGCAAAAAAACCCCAACTATATGAAGTTCCTGAGTTAAGAATAACTATATGAAGTACCAGGACTCCTGGTGTGGCACTGTGGGTTAACGTGCCAGATTACAAAGCCGTTTGAACTGCAAGGTCAGTGGTTCAAGCTCCCCAGCTGCTCCTCGGAAACCCTATACAGGGTCGCTATGGATCAGAACTGACTCGACAACACTGAACCACAACAACAATATGAAGTACAGTGGTTACGAATCGGGCTGCTAATCTCAAGGTCAGCAGTTCGAAATTACCAACTGTTCCGTGGGAGAAAGATGAGGCTTTCTGCTCCCGTAAAGATTTACAGCCTCAGATACCCTGTGTAGGGTCACTATGAGTCGGAACTGACTCCACGGTACTTAACAACAACAACAACAACATATGAAGTACAAGTGTGTTAACAAGAGAATCAACTAAATACAACCTTTACAGGATCTTCCATATGATCTCTAGTCCCATGGGCACATTATGTAAAGGAAACTGAGACCTTGGAAGGGTAACTTTTTTCTCTAAGCTCATCAAACTGGCATGTGGCATAAGCCCAGAGTTTATTCCATTTCAGAATTCTCTTCTACTATGTCCTATGGTAACATGTCAGGTAGCAAAGATGAAGAATCTAGGTCACAAGGTATACAGCAAACGGTTCACTCTATCAGTGCCAAAATCCCTGGTGGTACAGAGGTTAAACAGCTCAACTATTAACCAAAAAGTCAGCGATTCAAACCCAGCAATCTTGGGGGAAAGGTGAGGCAGTCAGCTTCCGTAAAGATATACAGGTCTGAAACCCCTCTGGGGCATTTCTACCCTGTCCTATAGGGTCACTACAGTGTTTTAAATGTAAAATCAAATAGCTACAATTATCAGTTTCCTTCCTTACTTACAAAAACAGGCATACTATACAATGTTAAATTCCTTGTTTTTCACTTAACAGTGTATCTTGGGAACCTTTACATATCTAGACATAGAGAACATTCATTTGTGTATCGTCTTTGGGGAAATAAGTCTTTCCCCAATGTTTTAAGTTTCATGGTTTTAGTTCTTATATTTAGGTTATAGTTCCATTTTAAGTCCATTAAACTTTTTTTTGGAAAAAAAGTATTATTGTATTTTTGGTGAAAGTTTATTGAGTTCATTTTTGTATAAGGTCTGATGATGGGTTCCAACTTCACTCTTTGGCATGTGGAAATCCAGCACCATTTGGTTTTTCGTTTGTTTTTTAAAATAATGTTTTATTGTTTTTGAAGAAGGTTTACACTCTAGTCTGGGTTCCTTTTCAACAATTTCTACATACTGACATTAGTTACATTCTCCACAATGCATGAACATTCTTATTATTTTGGTTCTAGTTGTTCCTTTTCCATTAATCTAGTTTCCCTGCCTCCTTGTTTTGATTGTTGACCATCATATAGGTGATTTAAAAAAAAAAAAGAGCGCAGTACTTTCTAGATCTCAGATTGCTATAGACTGTAGTATAGTTTCTTCTGAGTCTTTAGTTTCCTTCTTTCTTTTTTGCTCTGGATGAATAGTGACCAATAATTATATCATAGATAGCCACTTGTAAGCTTTTAACACCCCATACACAACTCACCAACCTAGGATTCAGAATATAATTTTATTATGTAAATTATGCCATTGACCAAGATGTCCCACAAGACTATGTACCAACATTTATTGAAGAGACTCTTCTTTCTCCATTAAATGGGCTTGGCATATTTGTCAAAAAAACAAAACAAAAAAACTATTGATCACTTATTTCTGTCATGTGGGTTTGAATATTTATCTAATATACTTTAGTTTGATGATTTCTTTCTAGTATTTTGTTTAGTACAGGTCTGCTAGTGATGCCTCCGATTTGCTTATGAAAAATATCTATTTCTTCTTCATTTTGGAGAAGTAAGTTTTTACTGTACACAGAATTCTTCTTTGATAGCTTTTTTCTTCCAGCATTTTGAATGTAATCCAACTGCCTTCTGACATTTATAATTTTTGATGAGAAATCAACTGTTAATCTTATTGAGACTCCCTTATATATGATTAATCACTTCTTTTATTTATTTTAAATGCTCTGTCCTTGGCTTTTGACAGACTATGCGTTTACTAAATGTGGATCTCTTTTGGGTTTTATCCCATATGAAGTTTATTTAGCTTTTTATATGTGCAGATTAGGTTTAAAAATATATATATACCTCTCCTCTCTTGTCCTTCTAGGGCTTCCATTAAACCATGCCCCCCAGTCTCTGAGGCTGTTCAATTTTCTTAGTTCTTTTTCTTTGTGTTCCACAGGCTGGATGATCTTAATGAACCTTCATGAAAATCTTCATGTTTTCTCTTTCTGTTAGAGCAAATCTGTCACTGAGCCACATGGTAAATTTGTCACTACAATTACTATATTTTTAATTCCAGAATTCTAATTTGGTTATTTTTCTTTTTAAATTTACATCCTTTAGTGAGATTCTCTATTTGTTAGAAAAACTTTTTCATACTTTCCTTTGCTCATTTCTTTTCATTCCTTTATTCCTTTGAATATACTTATAATAACTGATTTAAAGTCTTTGACAAATAATTCCAATTTCTGAACTTCTTTGGGGACAGTTTCCACTGATTGCTTAATTTTTTTCAGTGTATGTGCCACACTTTTCTATTTATTTGCATGTCTCAGATTTTGGTGGAAAACACAGCATTTCATTTCTTTTTTTTTAAACATTTTATTGTTAAAAAATGTTAAATATTTGGTAAAAGTTTACGTAGAATAATGGTTTTCAATTCAACAATCCATATGCATTTGGGTTCCTAATACTGATTAGGAGCCCCACAATGTAACAGTACTCTTCTTACCTCCTGTGTTTACCATTTGAAAACAGAATTATTCCAAATAATATGGCAACTCTGCAAGTCAGAATCTCTGCCTACTCCTCACCCCACCCCACCCCACCCCACCCCAGGATTTGTTGTTGCCATTCATTTGTTCAGTGCCTTTCCCAGACTAACATCTGAAGTCTCTTCCTGGTTGTCTAGTGGTCAGGTAATGATTGGATGGATACCACCTTATATGTCTTAATCCTCTAAATCCCAGCCTTTGCTGAGGGGTTTGTATGACTGTTAGGGCACACTATCAATGCTTCTGTGGGGGTGTTTACAACTCTTAGTCTTCACTCCCCACTTATGCAGACCCTCAAAGTCGGCTAGAGGTAAGAAGCCAAAGGTCTTTGGCAGGTGCAAAGCACCGCTCATGTGCATGAACTTCTAGATTCTAATGAAAATCTCCACGCTTCTAAAAGTCTCCTTTGGACATCTCATTGTCTAGTGCTTCATTTGAAGTTTATGATCAGTCTCCTGTCAGCCCCAACTGGTAATATAGTCTCAGGTGTCTTCAATGATATAGATAGACAGATATAAATAATATATATTGTGGTACAGTGAATTATGGCTTTTCTATCATACTCTTTGTAACGCCCATCAAATGACTGGGTGGGACTATGCAAATAAGATGCATGAGACTAATATGAGGTTTAGTTAGTTTTGCCATTTCTTCGGGTTTAAAACAAGCCATTTTAGAAGCAAGGACGAGGAATCTCACAACCATTAAGCAAAGTGAACCACAAGCAGAGCGTGTCTTTAGAGATCCAGGCACAAGAATTAGCAGTGCCAGCTGGCTTTCAGAATGGGGTGCCCTTTGGGCACCGATCAACAGCAATAAAAGAGCTTTGCAACACTTGCCTGAGAGGCGGAAAGGTCAAAGGGCCACAAAGCTGCGACTGAAAGAGGCATGTCAGCAGTTATGACTGAGAGCCGTGCTCAGAGAACATGCTCCTGACAGGCACCCTGAGCTCTTTCTGATGCTGATTTGTACCCTGTTAATTATATAGAAGAAGAAGCAGCACTCTGGACGGTCAGAGGAAAAGAGGAAGACCCCCAACGAGATGGAATGGCCAAGTGGCAGCATCGATGGACTCAAGCGTGGCAACAGTAGTGAGGTTGGCCCAGGATTGGGCAGTGTTTTGTTCTGCTGTGCATAAGGTCGCTATGGTTGGTACCAACTCTATGGCATCTAACAACAACAAATTATATAGAGCCCTATAATCATTGAGTATTATCTGTGAGTTGGGTGGCTATTACAACAGATTATCAAACCCAGCAGAGAAGTAGCGTGCCATGGGACATTGGGAAGGATGGTGTCAGAATAGGAAAAAGAAGGGTGGAGCATGCATACCGGACCTACACCTCATAGGAATCAGTCTTGGGCTGGTGGTTGTTTCTCTTTCCCTCTTATGAAACTGGAAGAGGTCAGATAATGCCTCCAC